CATTGGTGGATGTCGCAGTGTGGGGTACACTGCCCAGTGTAGGGGTCGGTTGGTAAAGAAAAGCCAGAGATATATCCTTGTTTTTTGTAGGGATTTAACTTGCTATCTCTGAATGGAATGTTGAATGGGAAGAACAGAGAATGTTTACCGACCCTGTAAAGTACATGTACGAGAAACTATGGTACCCGATAGATTAATTGTTGCAACACAAAAAAAGAAACAGGAAAATAAATTTGAAAGAACATTTATAACACAAAGAGAGTTATGAAGTAATTAAAAAAATAGACTAAAGTACAATTATACCGTCTTAAAAACTAAATAAACAGAGCCACAGTAGAGATTCTACCTTCCTTTTTTTTAAAAATTAGAAGAATAAACACAAAAAACCTTAAAACCTATTTGTAGCACAAGATAAAATTATAATAATAAAAACAACGCAGAGTCAAACTATAAAAGTCAAAAACTCAGTGTTCCCCACACTGCGGACCAGTCCTTATAGACCCTTTGGACTAGTATATACCTGGTCTTTCACAGGAATCAACTATCCGGTCTTTCATTTAATGGCCATTTCAATGTTTCCTTTATCTATTTTATAAAAAGCCATAACCTATAGGAGAGCGAGTCAAATCCTATGGCAAGGAAGAGGTATACATAAAATCTGCAGACATTCCTAAGCAATTTGCCAACAGAGGAAACCCAGGGAACTCATCTGCACAACCACACAGCAACCTTACTTGAAATTGGATGGCGTCAACTTCTTTGGTACTCCAGCTTCACAGACCTCCGACACACAGCAACTGCAATTGGGTTTTCAAAAGGACCCCTTACCTCTGAAATTTGGATTCTTAGTTTACTGGTGTGTCCTTGGTCTGGAAGAAGAGTGTCCTTGGAAGTATGTTGCCATCCGGGTCACGGCACCATGTTGTCGAAAAAAAATCATTCAAGTCCAGTTCAGGTTTGCTGTGGTGGTGTGAGTTTATTAAAGCATGCCAGCATCCTGGTGAACTTACATACACAGAGCAGATCTGAGTCGGTAAGCTCACTCAGAGCAAATGAAATAAGGTACTTTCATACATGTACCAATACAAAAGAGTATGTAAATGGTAGTCATTGATCAGGCAGTCACCAGACATTACGTGATCAACGTGATCAACGATCAAAGTTAGAAATGGCAGGAAAGGTAGGTGTGGGGGTTTGGTCAAGGGGGAAGGAGACAGCAAGAATACACATTTAGTATATGAAATGTATGTATTTTCTTCATCAGTGTTAAACCGCGTTGAAAGTTGGAATTATTTTAAGCCTGACAGTCGTGATATTGTTATTTGACAATAATTAAAATTGGATAACAGTCAAACCTTGATCTGTTTTGTTTAACACAGACAAACCATTTTTGAAGGCCTACAATTTGGTGACTATATGTATGTCTTAGGCAAAACATTTTACACTTAAGAAAAAAACGTATTTGAAACATGAAGGTAACATTAAAACATTGGACGCCGCTTGGATGAGTGACTAAGACAACTACATTACATTCATTTGGTCAATCAGTGCTGGCAGAAGAGCAAATGTGCTCAACGCCAGTGCTACCGCTAACATTTCAGGTTTTTGGTTGGGACATAATAGGTAAGTAAAAGGTCTCATGTTTTGTTGTACTTGGCAGAAAGCTTGGAAAGAGCTGGTAGTTACAGCATACCTGTTATGATCTATTTCAGTTTTTAGACTGGTCGTTTCCATGACTTTTAAATACTGCTGCAGTGGCACTGAGGGTAAATACACTTTTACTGCTAACCATTCATAATGTGGACAGACCATAATGATATATGGCGAAGTGGAGGAGTGAATTAAAAATTTAACTGCGTGGCTCTTTGGCCCTGAACAGGGACCTTGTGACTGACTAATAATCACACCGTCAATCTATGAATAGAAGCTTATGGTTGGTACACAGTGCCAATGTGTCAGCAATGGGCCCCGAGTGACTCAGTGTTTCTGACAACCAGGCAGCAACCGCAGCGGTGGTGGTGCTATGTGGAGATGCATCAGCGGCTGTGCAGAATAGCACCATTGTGTTGCTTGTCAGTTCTGCATATAGACTATAGAGGTATAGAGAGAAAGAGCTGGTAGTGACTTACGTGACGGCATACTGTGCAAAAGAAAGATACTCCACCAGCACGTCCAGGCCTTTGTTCTCTTCATTTAAGAATTCTCGAACCCACCTGAAGAGAGACGAAAACAGATTTAACTAAAAAAAAAAAAAGTTTATCGGCACAAAAAGTCTTATAAAATCATTTGGTCAGTTTCTGGATAGAGATCTAGGCACACTTTCAAATATACTTGATAGGTAGAACCAGAATCAGTTTTTATAATATTGTTTTCTAAGGTTTAATCGGTTTTAATAAAAACTCATCTCACAGCGGAAAAAAAATTGGGGTATCTACAGCGAAGCAGTGGATTGAAGAAATTATCAGTACCTTATAGCTGTAAAATAAAATTAAACATGCACTGAAACAAAAACTTTATTTGATTACAGTTAGTATTGTCTTGTCTCATCACTAAATGCTTAAAAATGTGTTAACTTCAAGTATCAATGTTTAACATATTTTATATTAACATGCCTCACCATCACAACAATAAAAGAAATGAACACACACACCACACAAAATAATAATAGTTTGGTCATATAGGTCTACAGATCTGGGGCCGGTTGCACACAGGCATCCACACACACATACCGAATCTCATTACCGAGTCGGCCGGTCCTCTCTTTCCCTCAACAACACACACACATAGTTTCTAACTCTGGTAAAGACAAGCTCCCAGAATGATCAAAAGCCCATTCTCACCTTCCTCACAAGCACTCAAGTGGGCCACCCATTCAGTACTAGTACTAGTGTGTGCTTTCATTTTTTTATTCTGCACAGAAAAGCAGAGCTTTTTCACAGGAAAGCTCCCGCCACCTTTGGCATGTACTGTTCTCCCTCCATATTTATAAGCAGTGTGAGCTGAATCACAGAACATCTTTATTTAATCGCATCCTACGAAGGTGCCCGTGTCTTTTTTATTGGAGCCCCAACTGCTTCGACAGGCCTGATTGCTCTGTGATTAGAGAAATTTGCAGGGCATAAACATAATCACACGCAGGCAGGCTTTTGAGTAGTACCGTGATGATGAGGATGTAAGGCTAAACTGCTCTGTGGTGTAACTAAATGGGAGTGAGTGAGACTGACGAGAGTGTCCAGTAAAGCGCTGCATGGAGGGGCCCGTCGTGTTTTAAAAGGGCTTGGAGGTGTGGCCTTGTCGGGCCACATGGTAATCATTACCACAAGACACTAACTAACAATCCTCCCATTCACCACATGTTGTTGACCACTGAGCAACATGTGAGGAGCAAGCAGGCAGGGAGGGAGCCGGGGGGGTTATCATCGGCAGCACTTGTACAGGGACAATCTGCCCATTATACACAGCCTACATGATGGATACATTTCTCTGTTTCACCTCTGAAAAGAAGCAGTAATCGTTCACTGTCTGAGCGGGTGACATCTTGCTCCCTAACCACCCCCTCCACTTTACTGTCTCAATCTCTATTCCCGTCCCTCCGCCATTATGGTAATGCTACATTGTCTAATCTAGATTAGGTAGATTATTTATGTAATCTAGTTTACTAACATAAGGTCTCTGAAAAGAGTTAATCCATTTAAACAATGCCTCAACTCATTTGCCAGACGAGCATCGTCTTTGGCCGTGAGTTTATTTTGGTTTGAAGAGCAGAATCTGATCAGTGTGTAATGTGTTTGGAGTGTGAGAGACACTGTTGTCAGACACATGAAATGATTTTGGTGAGAGTCCGTAAAATAGACAAATTGAAGTAAAGTCATGTGTGTGGGAGGAAGGAAGAAGAGAAAAGCAGAGGGATTAAGAGATGTAGTTTAGATACTGTGTGTGTATATGAGTTCATGTGACGGTTGTGTAACCGGTGTGTTTCTGATTCTTTGCTGTCATAACAGCCTGTGGGCAGCGGATGCTCTCATTGCCGCCACTTCCTGTCCTTGACGGGGTCTGCATGTCTCCCGTGACCGCCCACTTTCCACATCCATCCCAGCTGTTAGCCCTAAGCCTCAACCCTATCAAAGAATCCTCTTCAGCTTCATTTGTACACATAGAATCTGATTTACCAATTTTTTCCTGTGCTTGAGGATGTAAGACGATTTTGAACCACGCGACCAAAAAACTCTGGGTGACACACAAGTCTAATGATTGGTAAATGTAATCAATTTCTGAATTACAGACACACACACCAACTCTACTGTCTGAAATGTCTGCAGAAATGATTGTCAACTATAGTTCTTAAAGATGTGCACTACATTACCCACAATGCAACTTGACTGGCTGGTGTGTTATGGTACTCGTGTCTACGGCAGCCTCGGGTGGAGATAAGGAGCAGGCTACAGAGGTAGTTTCTTTGTAGCTTCACACCAGAAAAACAGATTTTTTCTTCTTCTTTAGAACCAACTGATGCTGACTCAAGTGACATCACTTGAGGCAATTAGCAAGACTTGAGGCGATATTAGATTTCACACAGCTCCCTTTGAAGCCACAGAGGGCTTTATGCAACTTTTTAGTAGTAAAAGTAGTACTCCCCAAACCCTTCCATTAGATTACAGCTTATCTTGCACATTGCAATATCAATTTGTGTCACACTGCCACACATTCCCTAAATAATATTTTGTACATATTGTCTCTCTTTTTATATTTGGATATATTGTCTCTTATAATTGTCTCTAATTTTATCTTTATTTATATTTGTCTATGTTTATTGTTTTTTTTTACCAATTTACCACGGCAAAATCCTGATAAACCCGATTCTATAACTATACTGGTTATATTTTATATAATTATTTTATATTATATTATATTTTCGGGTCTTTTTTTGTGGAGTGTAATTCTTTATTTGACCAACACATAAAATGAAATGATTTTTCATCTGTCCCCAAACTGCATCTTTAATCATTTAGGTGTTGCCTTGATAAATGAGGCCCCTGGATCCTACAGATCCCAGAATGCATTAGGTCTCATTAATGATGCTGAGCAATCCATCACAGTCTTTAACTATCTGGGTCTCTAATCACAGAGATGGGCCTCCATGATCTAGAGCAAGACAAAAACACGGAGCCATTGTGTGACGCTCATTGAGATATTGATCTTTCCTTGAGGACGACTGTACAACAGTGAATCAATATCAGCTGCAGCAGGTTGTGTCTTGTTACCCTTGAATACCTGGAATTACAAATGAATGCTCCAGTGTTTTTATCTGTTGTGAAATCATGATCTCTTTAGTAACAACTACAGTAATGCCTCTTCAGGATGGTGCACTGTTATATCAAGTTGTGCAGCTCAAGTACCGCAAGAAAAATGTGTTTTCCTTGCAGAGGCTGCTCATGTGTCAACCGCCCCAAACAATCAATCGATTCATCTTTTCTCCATCGCCACATGGCTTTCTGTGTAATATTAGGCCAGAACGCCTGAGATGAATGGGGGATGGTGGTGGTGGTGGTTAGTGTCAACGTCTCCGGGTGTCTGGAATGTCAGACTTTTCCCCCCTTTGAATCTAATATTAACCAGGTCCAGGTCATTCAACACTGCGAAAGCTTCACACAATCCTGCAGAGACTCACCCTATGTGATTGGTACGTAACGAAATTTCCAGTTCTCTCAGGACTTGAGTGGACTCCTGAACTCTTCGTCTGAATTTCTGAGGAAAGAAAGAAGGGGGGAGTTAATATTTCATCATACCAGTAGAACTGTAAATCATCAAGTGGTAGCGCAGGGATGTTTTGGCTGGAGGAAACTTTTTTATGACAGAAAGGTCAGACAAACAGACCGCAGTGACATTTAAATGTGAAAGCAGGCAAGCAGAGGACTGATTATAAAATTAAAAAAATAAAAATAAAAGTTTGGTTTGGGTTGTTCTCATAAGATGTTTAAGTGGGCTTTTAACTTGCCAGTAACCATTCAACAGGCCGAAAGAGTAAGGCGAGCTGACTCATTGGAAACTGTGAATATAACAGTTCTCGTTATCTTGTTTGCTCACATTGGTTCTTTATATGGCAGTAATCCCTACTGGCAGCAGCGTGATAAAATCAAGTAACCTAATTGGTTACCTCTCAAGCCCTTCGAGGACACCCAGCAGCCTCACAAACACACAGGTACACACACACACACACACGCATTCTTGGCCCTGTTACTGTGGCTACAGCTGTGTGTGAGCGACATGCTTGACAGTATTATGAGCTGCCAGTGAATGAAATAGAATACAACAGAGCAGAGAACGTGAGCAGGGTTCCTCTTTGATTTCATCCTCTGACAGGAGGTGATCTGTAAAAACCAAAAACAAAAGGCCCTTCAGGCTGTTACACAACCACACCAACAAAACAAAGCAAAGAGAATGACCAGCGGTGATCAAACAGGAGGGGGAAATCCCTGATGAGAGGGAGTGAAACAGTTGCATCAGAGGAGAGGAAAGGTATAATTTCTACTTTTAATGCACCACTGTGCTTGTGAGGTTTAAAATATTGCATAAATATTTTCAGTCCCATGTCAATCAAACTTTCTTTTCCTTTCTTTTTCTGGGTTTTTTGTACAACAATAACATAAACCACTCACACTCTTTATTTACTACAATATTGTTATGGTTATAGATTAGAAGTAAGACATTCTACGACTGTAATGCGTCACTACCCTTGTATAGTATATTACAGTATGTCAGATTCAAAACATACTAAATTATACACCTCAAAGAAAATGAACACAATAAAGCTATCACATTTGCCAAGTAGGTTATGTTTTCAGTTGCCGTTTGTTTGTCAGTAGGATTACAGAAAAACTACAGGCCCGATTTTCAAGAAACTTGGTGGAAGGGTACAACACGGGGCAAGAAAGAACCCATTTAATTTTGGAGAGGATCACTTTTGTAACATTCTGAGAGTTCAATCGTCTATAGCAAAATGAACTGAATTTTTCGCCCATGCAACCAGTGAAGTCAAACAAATGAAGGGGGTGCTGTGACTAAACATGCATTAAAAGTTTATATTAATGTGTTGTGACTGTCTAGTTATGGGAAAATATTACTATGAACTTTCTTTTTTAATTCAGTGTAAAACACAACCTATAATCAATTAAAATTGATGTGTAAAGCATCTTAAATGTGAGAATTTGCTGCTTTTCTCAGCTGTTTATAAATTGTTAACTAATTATCTTTGAGTTGGACGGACAAACATTTCTGACATTAAATATATATATGGAAAATAATTAAAGAGACTAATTGCACCTCTAATTATGACCTCCCTGACAAACATACTATAGTAACATTAAAAAAGGTTTTTTTAATGTAGTTTTTTTCTACTTAAAATGGCAGAAGAGAAGAGAAGAAGTCCAAGTATCCACCCAGGGTTGGAGGACCTGGTCACTTTCCATGATGTGTTTGTATCAGGGAGGAACCAGAGCTCAACCCTGTGTTAACCTACTATTAACATCCACAGTGAAGAGAGCTGTTCCCAGAGCTAGGGTCTCACTCTCTCTCTCTAGTCTGTGTCTTTGGGCTTGGGCGGTGTGTGTTTGGCACATGAGAAGATTAGAAACAGAGTGTTTTTATTAGGGAGGAGCCCTTTGTGCGCGTTTGTGTGGAAAGCAAAGCATATTTAGGGGTACTGCGCAGGCTCCCAGAGGCACGCCCCCTCCCCTTCTTCTTCTCCCACTGAACGCCCTACACTCCACACTTTAAGTACTACCAGCTGCAACACAGAGAGAGCAGGAAGAGAGAGGAGCCGACAGTTGGGGGAGAGGGTGAAGACCACGGTGAAGACAGAATGGGGGGAAAGGAGAGGAAGAGGAGGAGACAGGGAGGGAGTAGTGAAAGGGGAAAGTAACAGACAGCATTTACAGTGTGAAGTGGGGGGAGAGAGAGATTTGGGGGAGTGTGAGCTCAGGAGAGGTCATCCTGGAAACAAATCAATGGCTGATACATTCTTGGGGACTAGTTGGACTGCAGCTCTTCCTCCTTGGCTGCCTATTGGCTGGGAGCTGCCCAGAGGAATGCATCGGAGCCTGCCTATGGAAAGCAAAGGCAACGACCTCCAGCTCTCTCACAGCGGCACAAAGTGGCAATTGTTTTGAGTTTGAAGAAAAGGGGGATGGAGCAGGAATGTAGAAAGAAGCCCATAACTCTCTTGTGCTTCTTTTTTGTCTCTCTCTAGCTCTCTGCCCATCTCTTTCTCCCCCTCTACCCTTTCTCCATTATTCAGTTTCTCCCATGCCCTTCTCACTTTACTCGCTTGTGTAATTCGTGGTTCCTTGTCTGCTTCAAGTTTTTGAAAGAGGCAAGAAAAAGCAAAGTGGCAGCAATTCAAGGCGGGCCGATTTAAAAAAAAAATAATCCCACATGTCTCATACCCATGAGACTAAACATTAAAAACAAGATGGTAAATAAACAAAGACACATTTCGGCAAGTCCCCCAAAGGTTGCCTCATCTAGAGTGGTTTAATATAGACCCAACAACCAGTTAGTCATGCAGCCACAGAGGTTGTGGTTTACTTAAGTTTGTCTATCAGAATCTAGAATCTATCTAAATATTGTCTTGTCTGTCTGTGTTTTTTACACCCAGAGACCTTGAAACATGGTCATCATCTCCTAGTTACATGAGAGGACTGATACCACTCTCATGTCTTTATACCCTAAATACAATCAGGAGATGGTTTTTATTACCTTTGGACAGAGTGAGGCTTGCTGTTTCCCCCTGTTTCCAGTCTTTATGCTAAGCTAAGCTAACAGTCCCCTTGCTGTTTAGCAGACAGACATGAGAGCGGTATCGGTCGGAAAAAAAAAGTGGATATTTGCAAAAGGGTTGTGTTGTTGTTGGACACTGAGTGCCTTGCTCAGCGGTAGGTGTAGAAGCTGGGAATGGAGTCCATAGTCTGCGTCTCTAACCTTGACACTATCGCTGCCCCAGCACAAACTGCCACGCTTTTAACCTTTGCAGTGTTTTGTCTGCTTTAACCTGCGTCAGTCTCCTTGTGCTTCCTGCTTTTATCAGATCTCCTATGTGTGTAATCTCTCAGGCATTACATTAGGCATCAGGGCGACAGGAGTTCAGCAGTCTCAGAGACCAGTGGTTCCCATCCACAGGGCTATCAGAGGAGCTCCAGTAGCCCTTCATCGACATTCCATCCATTACATTTAGCTAACATTAGCTAACATTAGGAATCACTATCCTCCACATCGACAATAGCAGGCCGGAACCATATCACACACAGGATGTAGCCCAGTGGACACATTTTTATCAGCTCAAACAGGAGAATTGTAACTGAACTCTGTGTATGTGCACTGATTTACAGGAGTTTATGTGTCTATATGTTTCCAGAGCCACGTTTCCACCAAAATATATTGCAAATCTTAACCGAATTTAAAAATTTCGAATCCGTCCACTACCATTATGCAGTTATTAGGAGTTGGTTTATCAAGATAAGCAAGAGCTTAATTTCCAGTCTGAAAACCAGAAGAGGGCACAACAAGATGACGTGTTGATGTGTAATGTGAGGAAGGCGGTTACATCAGTCCCATATATCCTATAAAGCACATTAACTATTTTTCAAAAAAGGAAAAAACCACCACAAACAAGTGTAAGAACAGTTCTGCAAATGTTGCCATCTCCAACAACATTTTCTAATGTGATGCTTCAAAATCTGCATGAAAATAAGTTGATGGGAATACAGCTTTATGTGCCGTTGCTGTTCTTTTTGTTCTTTTTTTTTGTTGCCACAGTTATACCGTAGCTCAGTTCACGGTGCTTATTGTAATGTAAAATTTTAAATCCAGTCATTGCAAATTGAATTATTCAGCGATTTGTTGTTATTCTGGCAGAGTCTTTTGGTTAATTTGTTTATCACAGAGACTGGTCTCCTAGCACTCCCCCCACAGCTCTCTCAACCAGGCCAAAAAGGCTTAATTCTGGCAATGCCTGAAAGCTGGCTGATGCTTTGCTTCGTGGAGCCCCTCCTCTTACTCTCTTCTTCTCCCGTCCAAGCAGCCAGGAACGCTAGAGGTGGCTGCTTAGATGACATAAGACCATTTTTATAATGTAGCTAAGACACTTCTGATACCTCCTGCCATGCTGTAAGCAATTAGCAATCTAGATCCCTCTCTATAGTGTTGAAGACACTATTATGCTCTCTTCTGCCTTTAAGTAACTTTTGTTGTGTTTTTTTCCATTGCTCTTCCTCCCAAAGAGGTCAGAGCCAGAACAGCACCACAAGGATTCAGTGTCTTGCTAAACTTCATGTCTTAAACCTGGGCGTTCCAGATAAACAACTGGCTCCTTTCTCCGTAAGTCACACTTTTGACTGTTTTGTAACTAAAGTTCCCAAGCTGTCGGCTCCAGAAGCCCTGTATGCAATCTATCCTCAACTGTAGGGATATCCTGGACAAGAGATAGAGGGTCGAAGGGGAAGGAAAAGCTGCAGCAGTGGAACGGCCAGGCCAATGGAACAGGATAGCATGTTAGCGAGGGGGCACTCACCTTTCTTGTGACTGCTGGGTCTAGATAACTCCTCAGCTTTTGGAGATACGTGTGAGGCGGGTTTTTCACTTGGAATCGCTCCTGTCAAAAAAAAGGAGAAAACAAAAGACTGAGATGAGCAAAAGGAAAGGCAAACGACATGAGAGAAATAAAAGAGAATGAGAGGACATAAAGACACAGAGGGAGGAAACGTTTCTAGTATTTAGGACAGAAGTTGTACAGTAATATTATGAATTTAGAAAAACCACACACAAGTCTGAACACATCTCCATTATAGAGTTAACTGTAGTGAGACTAAAGGCATCAGATTAAACCTGAACAGGCTTTGTGTAAATTACAGTCATTATGAGTCACCCTTTAACTGATGGGAACCCAGATTATGTTCTACTTTAAGAGGCGGCAAGAAAATAACAATTATTCCTCTATTCCTGCTATAGTGGACATGACAAGCCTGTGTCACATGTGCAAAGTTTGCACGGACCTAGGGTGGAATGAGCCAGCACTCAATGCACCAGTTTTTCTTGGAGGATTTCTTGTAGATCAGACTGGAGATCAGCATTTACTCTGCTTATCAGAAAACTGACTGGGCCCATTCAAGGATTATTGTGTTGCACTTTAAGAATGGCTCATGTGTGGATGTTTTATATTTATATTTTATAGTCGTGTCTATCACCTGAGAACAGGGAAGTGAACTCTTTAGATACCTGGTCACAGTCCGATAACACTGAGCAAGGAGACAGTGACTGTTACGGTTGTTCAGCCTGCAGAAGGCCATAAACAATCTTGCTGTTAATGATTGTGATTATTTTTAATGCCCTATAAAGAATAACATGCCTGGGGATTGCGGCCAAGCGGGTGTGGATGTCTTAAGTTCAGCCAGGAACAGGTTTTAGGTCAAATCATTTACTGTTGTGCTCTAAATATAAATACAAGAGATTAGTGCTGGATTTGGTTCAGTGTGTTGAACGGGAAACAGTATTTGGATCAGGCCGAGCACCACACCACAGTAGCGTGAATGGTTCTGTTTAGTGATTTTCCACATTACATTGTATCAGAGAGACTGCATAGCATGTAATTCAGTAAATTTATTCTTCATATGATGTGGGCAAAAACAGCCAAGACATATCCTCACTTACGTAACTAGTTGGGATAACTGAATGACTGGCCTTCAGGGAAAAGTCCACTTTAAGACTTTTTCTCTGTCGTGTATCATCAATCTTTGATTTTCAATGCATACCACAGTATGCAAGGACCTCAGATACGAATCTATAAAAATCTGTCTCTGTATGTTTGCTTCTCATGTGAAACATTTTGTCTTCAAGACAGTAAGTACAGTTAACCTTGCTAGGCAGCTGGATTATGCCAGAATCCATCTTACCACGCTTCGAGCTATGTGCCATTGTCCAAACCACCGTGGTACAGGACCAATCAGCATCCTATGAGGAACTACTGGCAGCTACAGCATGACATAACGCTAGGTGTGTGTGTGTGAAAAGTGACTGTAATATAGAGTATATATAGTAATATCAGAACTGGAGAGATTTTTTCTTTGTAAGAAGAGAAAACAATGGCACTAAAGGCTTTTTTTCTAATGGAAAAGATGTTTTTGCTCTTCTCCCGACGGATCTCTAACAGTTTGACTACGTTATATGGTTCGTTGATCTGACTGGCTCCATCTTGGTTGATATCAAAAATATATATACTTTCTTATGATGTAAAACATTACCCACCAGAGGAAAAAAAACATAAATTTAATGACTGTTTAGGTTGTCATCCAATACCTAAATTGTTGATGAGACAAGATGCATCGGGATCTGAGTGGTTTACCACCTGGCTAAACAAATTCCAGGGGATTATTCTCAACATTGTTCCACAATGGAAATGTTGTGTTTGCTGGATTTGTCTTATTTCCCCATTCTGGAAAGTCCTATTCTTCTCTACTGTAATTAATTGTGCCTGTTCACTTCCCTGTCTACCTGGGGAAACAAACACCTGTGTGAAACATGACGCATCCCCAGCTGCTTCTTTTCACCGGCTAGTGAAAACCTTCACCAAAAAGAGCTTCATAAAAAAGGTAGCATTTGCGACAAGGCTATTGTATTGGATCATAATGTTGTGATGTGTTCACATCATTGTGCCGCCCTCTGTATACACATACTCAGAGATCAGATTGCCTTTCTGGGCAGTGCTGTGTTATCAGCAACATCGCATTTCATCATATCATTGGCAGAGCACAAACAGGAAAGACAAGAATGGCGTCAGGAAAGAGAGCTGACAAGTACTGTATATATCCTGCTGCATGGAAAGAAATGTGAGGAATGGAGGGCAATAAATACATGAAGCAAGAGACTATAATATAGAGAATGCACGTCTGTTTTTTAGGAGCACATAAAAACGGGTTCAAACATGCTGTATGCAGTTCTAGAGTTTGTCTTTGGGAGCTGGTTTGGATTCAATTTCAAAGGTGAGGTACACTTTCCCCCACTGCACCTAAGGGAGTTGAGCAGAGACTTTAGAAGGGGAAATCACTTAATATGAAAGTGGGCATTTAGTTGCAATTTGCTGTCTTCAGACCTAAATATATCAACAACTTCTGTAGAAAATGCTTTGTTGGTTGGAAAATACCACAGGATTGCAACAAATCCTGAGAACTCTCAAGACGTGACAGTGATGAGTTCATCATATGTTTTAACCCTGTCTTCACATCAAGAGCATCCTCCATATTTCATAAATCCTCCTAATTGCCCCAAAAATGTTTAATATTTCAACCTCTGGTGGCGTTTGCAGGGCCTGTTTTTCAAAGGGGATGTACCTGTCATCTCTGCTTCCCTGCCTCCCTCCATTACTGTTTCCATGGTTACATAAAGAGATTCGCTGTAGCTATGACACAGAAAATATTTTACTCCCAGAGCCGTCTGTGCTGTCATGGGTATAGACTTCTTGGGAAAACAAGACTATAGAATAAAGACATTGGAGGACTAGTTTAGCACTATTCTTTGACGTCTGACTGTTACAGTGATGGGAAATAGGGATTGTCTTACAACATAAACATCAACTTTTTGGCACTTTATTGACCAGCAAAGGTTTTACAATGCTGTAAAGTCCACCCACAGTAGATACCAGTCATTTTAAACATGGATAACACTGATTCACATAGACAGAATGCACATTGTTTTAGTAAGTAAGAAAGTATGTAGAAACCAAGATGCTTGTCTTTAAAAACACTGAGCAATGTTTTTGGAGACTGCTTCACTGACAATAAAAGGGAAACCAAGTATTTTCACCTCAGTCCTGACAGAGGAACATGGAGTCCACTCCAAACTGAAAGAGGATCTCTGACTGCTGGTAAGCGGCCTGGTGAGCTCTCTCTGGCACTGTTCCCTTCAGGGTCAGTGGCTATCAATGCAGTTTGAGTGGGTGGTGGTCTTGATCTTGTCTCCGTTTTTTCTCCTCTGCTCAGGGAGGCAGAAAAACTCTCTGGCACGGAGGTTGAAGGCTGAGTGGAGCGCTCAGACCACAGCTGACTGCACAACGTGCACCCTCAGTTATTTCCTACATGCAGCATTGACGCCAATAACAGCCTGAGTTTTTTAACTGGCTAACTGATGTGTGTTCCCTGCTGCGCCACTTGACCCACTTGACCAGGGAAGCCAGGGCAGCGTGTATGAACTGGGAAAGGCTTACAGGATAAAGGCAGGGCAATGAAGCATGGCTGCTGTGTGTGGGACAGACCTTAGATATTAGAGTACATATAGAATCGCTTGGTTTACTTTGTTAAACTGTAAAGGAGGCTGATTGACAAATGAAAAAACTAATCACTTTACAGCCAACTTTGTACTTAATTTATTACAATATTTCATTCTTGTGAGTCTGGCAATTATTCATCCGCATTAAGTGTGACTTGTACAGCACTACGTCATCCTATCATACAGATAAGTGACTGTTGCCCACCTGATCACAGATGAGTTCCCACTTCTTCTCGTTGTCATACTGCCGCAACAGTCGTGCTTTGTCTGGAGGAAGATTCATCGAGTTCTGAAAGAGAGAAAAAGGTCAGAGTTAATTGGATGTGGACAATGAAACATCATCAGTCACATGAGATCACAGATAGACAGGAGGGAAAGGTATGTAAGGTACGCATGTCCTTTCGGGTAATTTCAATAGCACTGCACACAATTTACATAATACCAGGCTATCTACAGCATTCAAAAGGACATATTAATAACTAGACACCGACAGTTGGACCCACAGCAGTAACTTATAGACCTGCACCAGTTTAGCCTCACACTAAACACTGTAATGAGTAGATGAGATGGTACTGCTAAGGGAAAGATCAAAAAGTCTCCTTAAGTGAAACATACAAGCAAATCTCATGCAAAAATGGCCATTAGTTTTTAAGTTACAGAATGTTGATCACAAAAAAAAAGGGCTCACATAACTCTATCCTCATCTTCGGCTTGGGTAATCATGAAACAAGACACTCCTTTTTTAAGATTTTCTCTGTCAGTCTAGGATTTAATCCCATGATTTCCCTAAATATTTTCCATTTCCTACAGCACAGTTACCAAATATTTGCAGCAAGCAGAAAAGCCACTAATGAGAAAATCCTAAAATATCCACCATGTGAAGTGCTGCAGAGGAGTCTAACAATACATCTGGGAAAAAGGGGGTCTAATCTTAATGAGACCGAGCTTGACCCCATAACTCATTCCAGTCAATTGACTACACATACAAAGACACTGTACTGAAGTGAATTAGGGTGTGTAAGCATGTAAGTGAAAGTGAAAACCCTTGTTTTTGATGTTCAGAGTGATTTCCAGAGAAGTGTGTGTTTTTCAGGACAAATCTAATCTGACCCATGTGTTGGTTGACATTATGTCTGAGAATAAGCCCCAATCATCCAAAAACTGTTACACAACTCCTTTCTTTATCCGGCTTTCTCTACTTCCCTTCCTGCACGAACACCTCTGCAATTTGGCTGGATTTAACGCAAGCGTGATTCACCCCACCCTCATGTAAATTAGAAAAGCTTGAAACAATTAACCAGCACTTAATCGTACCACCTACAGTATGGAGAGCACACAACACGCAAATATGTCAGCAGAAAAATTTAAATAAAACATGTGACCCAGCTGGAGACTGGTTAGGCACTCACAGCAAACACTTGTTACAGACAGACAGTATAGGTGTGTGCTTCTCTTACAACAGCCTTTGCAAGCAAAAAGCTGTCAAGTCAAGGCAACAAACATCAAAAGTGTTTCGTCTGCACTTGTAGTGAGAATGTTTTTCCATTGCTAAAGGACAGACGCAGGGGAACATGTGGCCATCATGCACCGCTCAGCTTGGGGTTCTTTTTTTCCCCTCCGCATTCGATGGGTTGGATCATCTATCAGTGTGTGTTCGGCACTCAGCCTCCACTTTTCCTCACAGGGGGAGCGAGAGGAAGATAGATGAGGAATGTCCTGGGATCCAGCCTGTTTCCATGAGCGAGTAATACCAGGATAGAGTCAGACACTGATCGAGTAGTCTGATCCCCAACTTGCTTTGGAGTTTACAAAGTATTTCATCTTTTATACTGTATATTACTGATTGCTTTGGCAAGTGATCTATACAGCCATTCATTTAAATTTAAAAAAATGCATTTATAAAAGAAAATCAATGTAAATAGAGCTGCTCGTGAGACGCATGAACAGAGCTCATACACAGCTTTGTATCTTGCTAATAGCTAATGAGAGGAAGACTGAGTATACTCTAAACAGATTTATATAAATGAGTTAACTGAACCTGTAAGGTTCACAGACAGCACGAGAGATGCTTAAAAGATAAAAAGTTAACCGGTCTCTTGACTTCTATGCGAACTAATAATTTCATTATGTTCATGATATTCTGTCCCTCCCACAGTTAAATCTGTTTACTTTTCTAAATCGAAACTGATGATTCAATTGATTTCCACCACAGATGTGCCAGTAAACTTGCTAAATGAATTGAAATCCTAATATAAGAATACAATTTGCTCTCACTGTTTATTGATGTCTTTGGATGCATCAAAATCAATCTGAAGCACAATAGTTTTATTGGTTACAAACACAGGTTGTAGCCCGTCCAGCCTCCTCTACAAGAGCGACCAGGAAATTGCATTAGTATTCAGCAGATGCTACGAGCCGGCTGATCGCTGCTGTGCTGACTGCGGGGAATTGGGAGTCAGAGAGGCTCTATTGACTCAGTCTGGCTGCTAACCAGAGTTAGTACCGACTTTCCTTCCCTAAACACATTAAAATACAATTTGACACCTGAGTAGATGGACAAATTAAATGACAGCCGCTAGCACTCTCACTATATCATACACAAAAGTAAAAAACAGACTCATACATTTTGTCGATGGCAAGCTCAAATTAAAGGAGAGTAAATCATTACGTTATTTCTAGACTTGAGCCTTGTTAGGTTTGGATACTGAAGAAGTTTTGGCCTGGAAACAAATGGGTTTGTGGTAATGATGTAGGTGCTCGATGTAGGTGCTGTGCCCCTGCAGACTGGCTGGGTGGTTTGCTGAGTCGCTTTGGGTGCACTGAGCTGTGGGCTTCCTGCTTGGTGAGGCTCCAACTAAAGCAAAGAACCACTTCTACCAGCCTTCATTTCATCCCAATGCTAATGAGCTGTGACAGGCACTCAGCTCGCTGGGCTCAGGTTACCCCATGTCTACATGCGCACTATTTTTTTGTGTGTGTGTGTGTGCATCTGTGGTATTAATGGGGTGATGTTGAGGAGGGTGTGGCAGCTTTTTCGCCAGCAATTGATGGCAGGCCACCCTGACGAATACACACACCTAAATATCACTCATTAGGATATTTCACAGTGATTAAAGTATTATTAAACTGTATGAGGAGGATTATGACAGGTTTGACCCATTCGACAGACACAGACAAATTAGGCAATGTCTAAAATGATCCCATGATTCAACCAAGGATCACAGACTGATACAAGCCATAATACAGCATCCGATATAAACTGGAGACAAATGTAATTTTAAACACATGTATAACTACAGTGCAACCTGCTTTTAAGACAAGCAACAGATCACATGAGAACTGCAGCAGCAACCTGCCATCATCATAGCAGACTGTATACCCTAAAAGCAAAAGAGCAAAGTGTCTAACTTCAGTTTTTCAAGGAAAGGAATCCGTGTTAGACGCTTCAATAACTCAAATCTGATCAAACTTGCACAAGTGTCAGGCAAAAGGATAATGATGAAGCTGAACATGCAACAACCATCAAGTAGAGAAGCGTGCGAAGCCGCTACAAACATTGTTGGAAACAATGACAAAGCATGAGAAACTCCTTCCAGACAGCACAAAAATGAAGATGACAAGGGGGAGAAACCCTGGAATTTACTGTGCTGGATGACCAACCCCGTTCTCTGTGAAATGTGGAACGCTTCAACATCTCTAGCCTCACTTTGCCAAACTGACATTTCATCTCCGGAGCAGCTGTCTCGCATCTGTACTGTTAGAGAGTGAATTCCTTTAGAAACATTTGGAAAAAGCTTAAGCTGTGAGTTTTAGCTCGAACACAGATCATGTCATTATACAAAGCCAGCACTTCAGATAGGGCTCTACAATACAACCTACAACCTATATTATGATACATTTTCACATGTATTAATGATAATGTTAATTAATGCCAGTCAAAGACTTTTAGATTTTAGATACAAGCATTTAATTATACTGTTTTCAAAAATGTATATGAGCAAATTTAGGTGATTACGTTTAATATTTAAATTTAAGTGTAATATCTGTTATTCAATAAATTAGATTTTATTGTATCTAAAACTGAATAGATTAGTTTTGCGATGTAAAAACCACTTCAGGCTACAGTTTTCTGGCTCAAACACTGGCGGCAGAAAAGACTACAGTGCGTGTCATTTTACAACACAATGCAAAACCAATATTCATAGGTAGCCATATCTTATAAGGTCCAGTGTGTAGGATTGAGTGGCACCTAGCAGTGAAGTTGCAGATTACAACTATTTGAATACAGCTCAGCCTTCCAAGCGTGCATTCCACTAGATGCCACTGAATCATACACACTGGTACTTTAAAACCAATACATTAACCAAAAAGTGCTGAAACTCTCCAGACCTTGTTGTACAGACCAATGTTTATCAAGCAACAGCACACTATGTTTTTAATGGGAAGTAGCAGCAACAAATATTTTAGTGCAGCTCTAACAGGAGAGCATATCAGAAGACAGTGAGAGACAGAGAGTCTACAGTATCTGTTTGAAAAAAGTGAAACTAGGAACAAAACCCAAAACACATTACTCAGGAAGTGTGAACACGCAGGTTGACCCAAATGGTTTATTGCAATCACACAACCTGGACAAAATCTTGTCAACCTGCTTGGGAACAGGTTGACAAGCCTTGTGACCATACCTCAACACACTGTGGTACAGCTACTATACCAGCTCAGTTTTAACAGTATCTACTGATATAAATCTACTGTTAACGTCTTATTCACATGAGGTCTTAAGGCTCAGAAACTGGACAGAAGTTATTAGTGTCCATGTATCCTCTCATTAGGCAGCTTGAGTCATAAAAAGAGTAAAAATAGGCAGCTGGCTTGAAGCCCAAGAACCAACCCACTACCTTCCAGGAGGTCTGTGGAGGCACGGCCCTCACAGCACAGCTGGCTACAAAAGCAAACACAGCCCACGTGAAGGGCCTGCTTTAGTTGCCGTTGCTGTGACAAGATGTAAACCACATTGACAAAACTGACTCTGCTCTTGTACATCATTCGAAAGTTATACTGAACACGTTAAATATATGCAAAGTACTTCACAAGAATGAAACTGTGGTGAAATAGACAGCGTTCACTCTTCTGCAGTTCCCTAGAAAAAAAACTACAATACAAAGTCAGTTAACTTCCATATCCTGGGTTTCACATCATCATTCAACTCTTGTGGAAAGCTGTCTATAAGTGCTCTTGAACACATAAGCAATTCTGACTCAAGTGCACTTAGCAAAAGGGCTAAATAAAACT